GAACTGATGTATTTTAGTCAAACGGGCGCTGATTGGTTACCTCGTAATCACTTATTTATAAATAGACCCACGTGTAGACTGGCCATGTGCTCAAACCCCGATATCTCGGTGTTACGGGATATAGACAAATGACCTCTACCCCGATATATCGGGGTAACGGGTTCAAAGGGTTAAATTACATTGTACATGTTAATTAACATTTTCGTATGTAAATTTCAATTACATAGATATCTGGTTTTCCTACAAGTTATAAGGTAGAGTAGATAAACACGATTAGATGGTATTTTTACAAGCCACTGGTAAACGAAATAAACATGAAATTTGTTAAATTACATAGTACATGTTAATTAACGTTTTTGTATGTAAATTTCAATTACATAGATATCTGGTTTTTATGCAAGTTACCGGGAGAGTAGATTAACTATTGTCTGATTTTTTTCAAATTGTCACCCCAAAATTGACAAATATCTCCAAAAACTGATTTGACCTTTTGTTATTACTTTGAATATTGGTAGATGATTTTCTAAATTAAAACTTCCTATAATCAATATTTAAAAAATTTGTTCTATAAACTACTTTAAATTGTTGTGAGATTGATGGATGTCCAGTCTCACGATTTACTCTTTATCCTATTGAAATTGTGATACTGACATCCAGTCTTTTTGAAATTAATGAATCTAGGAATTCAAATTTAGAAAATCATCTACCAATATTCAAAGTTATAACAAAAGGTCAAATCAGTTTTTGTAGATCTCTCTTACTTTTGAAGATATTGGTCAATTTTGGAACAACAATTTGAAAAAATCAGACAATAGTATCCAGTGTAAGTGACATCAGATCTAGACATCAATTGAAAATAGCTGCACACAGGAATGAGTGAGACAACCAAACTCCTAAACATTTCGACCCTTTATTTCTAGAATAGCAGATGAACCAGATGTTCAATTGTTAACCTGAAAAGTTGCATAGATAACTGAAAGCAATAAACTAAAAAAAGAAACAAAACAATAGTGAATACAAACTTTCTTTTATTCAGTAGCACATGAACAATAATATTCTGGTATACAATACATGTAAACTTTAGAACAAACTAATTCCACATATCAATCGGATAACTTTTCAAGGCAGTTAGGTTCTTATACAAATTTAAGGGACATAATGAACAATATTCTGGTATACAATACATGTAAACTTTAGAACAAACTAATTCCACATATCAATCGGATACTTTTCAAGGCAATTAGGTTCTTATACAAATTTAAGGGACATAAATCCATAACCTCTCTAACATCTACCGTAATAATTTCTCCCTTGTGGAAATCTAAATCGTATAAGCCAATGTCAGATCTTGTTGCAATTCTGTACTTGCACACTAATTTGACAACAGAATTGTCAACTACAAGAATGAATTGAACTTGACCAAAACCGGCACATCCAAGAGTGTTATCGATAAGGATACAAATCCCACTTTTGATGGTATGTCCATGCATTGTAACTGACTTTGCATATGTTACAGTGGAAGTACTTTTAACATTCATATTGATCTTTTTAAACATTTCTGACCCAACAGTATTTTCAGTAAATACTTCAGCATCTTCAACATTGAATTCTGCTGATTGAAATAAATTACCTGCAGAATAATAAGACTGAAGAAATAACTATGCTTTGATTCAAATCGAATAGTCCAAACTCTTAGCATGGGCCCGAATTGGGTAATTAAATAAGGATAATGATGTACATAATGATGCTTAGGTCTTAACTTCACTGAAGGAAATAAGGTCTGTCTTAACATAATATAATCATTAATATGCTGCTGAACAAGGCATATTTGGTTTGTGGATAATTTGAAAGCACACAAATATTCTGTAACAAGTCTCAACAGTAAAATTGCTTTCCAAACCTCATCATCTTGATTTTTAACATAATCAAACATAATTATTGGTAATAATCTCAAAAGAGTCCATGTTTGGACAGCATGCCCTCCAATTTTGTCACATTTTGCCTTGATTGGAACAGGCTTGTTAGCTGAATCTTGGCCGACATAACCAAAGGTTGAAATGCAAAAATTTAATGTCTTCAAATCAAACCATTTTCTTACATTAATCAAATTTTTCAAATAAAGAGCCAAATCATACTTAATTACCCCTTCAAACAAATCATGCCCTAAACAAGGGGGCAAGGCTGGATTACAAACATGGAAACCTGGGAGGGCATTCAAAAGGCTGTTACATTTTATGCCGTTGTGTTTATCAACATCATTTTCTTCTATAAATTTAATAGAATTGTCAAAATTGTTAACTGTTCTTAGATCAGCATTTCTGATATCTAAAGGATTACTTTCATAAGATGACTTTGTCATTAAACAATACCTACAGTAATGCTGGCCATTTGAAAAGTTTGTACAAAACCCCCCCAATAAAATGACTACCAAGATTATCCCCCAAGACGCACACTACATTTGCTTTAATGAACTTTCCATCAATTGTTAATCCAGTAGAAAGTTCCTTAATATCATTAATAAGTCATTCTAAGACTACATTACCATTGTCAAAATATAGGAAATTCTTTTCAGTACACAATAATATTAGTTGTAAAGGATCAATCTTAGATCTGTTATAGGGATAAATATCAACTAGGGAAAAATAAAAGCCAATTAATTTAAAGGGTTTTTTTTTGCTGAACCAAGCGGATTAACAATCTCGAATGCATCCTGATACAAAATCAATTTCAATGCATCTTTATTCTCTGAAAAATACTTATTTGTTTTATAACTATCTCCATCAATTATGTCTGTATAGATATCTTTCTCAGATGTCAATGGTTTATTTAACAGATTCAGAACACTATTGTCTTCCAGCAAGGCCCTTAATGTTTTCTTCAAGGGAACAAAGTGATATTTGCATCTCCTATCATTTTCATCTAGTCCTAAATAAAGTTCAATAGGCTCTACATACATAAAATTTTCTTTAAAAAAACTCTTTCTCTTAAAATTTGTATTAAATCTGGCATTATCACTATTTATTTCCGTTTTAAAAATATCAGAGTTCTTAATTTGTTTTAATTTGGAACAGCATTCAGGATTATCTAATCTAAGCTCTTGGCTAATGTTTTTAAACACCATATCCATTGATAAATTATGCAAGTCACAAACATCAGACATCATTGAATTGATTGTACTTATTGGTACAAGGTGAACTGCTTCAAGTTTCATGTAATATAAAGCCAGAGAATTGGTAAACACTTTGGACAAGTTCTGAATATTAGGAACATCAAATTCACTACTTTCTTCAGTTTGTAAAATTGACTCAGGGGATTTCATTTCAACTGAATTCGATCTGCTACAAACAGCTTTATTTTGTCTAAATAAATCCTTAAAACTATTTGTTGCTTTATGTGTTCTTGATATATAAGAGGTAAAAGAAGAATGTTTAGTAAAAACTCCCTTGCAGTCTAAGAAAGGACATGGCATTGACTGATGAGAACTAAAATGCCCTTTACAATGTGAAATTAACCCTTTAAGACTGTCCACTTTCATTTTACATGTATCAATGCAGCAAACAAAACCATCATTAAGTAATTTGTCTCTTAAGTATTGAGCATTCTTGTGTGGTGTATCTCCATGGTCCCTAGTAATGTGACATTTTAAGGAAGAAAATCTAACAAATTCTCTGGAACAAAATTCCAAACAACAAGGAAATACAATATTTTTAACATTAATATGCCATTTGTAGTGGCTCAAATATTCCCGAACAGAATATAGTATTTGTGAACAAAACTGACATTTATAATCTGCCATTATTTTAATGGATGCACTCAAATCAATAGTTATAAGGAACTAAAAAAGCAACAAAAAAATAGTTTTAGTGCTCGAACAAGTTGATAAAACAAGAATGGAATGATCATTAATAAACCCCAATGACAAAATATCTTTACACACAGTTATATATTATTTTGTGTTTATTGGTATATAAACTGATATTAGCTAAGAATATCCTTAAAGAAAGGGCATATTTGTGTGCACAAGATGATTATCAGTATATTTAAATATTCAGTTAAAGTTCAAAATATGAGATTTCAAATAGAAGTCAAAGATGTAACTTGTGAAATCGGTTATCGTTTAAGCATTAGTTCTGTTTCTTTTTCTTACTTTGATTGTAACTAAATTTAAGTGGTGTACACAATGATCTTAACCAAAATTGTAACATTCAACCTTGAATGCTTAATACATGAATAGGCAACTTCTGACTGACATCAGTAAAAACAAAATTTAAGTTACAATGAATTCACGGAGATGTGAAAGAAGTATTTGTCTTCAAAAAACAAATATGTTGAAAAATCATTTATATGACTTGCCAATGAGATAACTTTAGATGAAACACACCCTTTCTTTGTTAGTCTTTTCGTTTTTTTCGAACCATTGTCAGGATTGATTCCTATTAGTGCTCTGAAAATAGTAATACAAAAAGTATCAGTCATAGTTAAACAAGTTCTAATAGATATAGTAATCCAGATAAGAGCACAATTTCATTCACAGATAAATCTAAAATCTGGATTTCCTACCAAAACATAACGCCCACTGGTACTTTTCAATGCATTTCTCACTGTCAGCAAGAATATATTTCTAGGATATATACATATGTATAAGATTATCTCATGCCATGAAGGATTACCAATTTCAATAAAAACAAGACGTCAGAGTCAGCTGGCGACATACGCCCACACAGCAACAAATTTTTGGACAGTTGTTTGCCCTTGATTAACATATTTTCGGAATATCACGTATAGTAACTCTCATGAGATTTTGTGGACACCACCCACACCTTTAATTTCATAAAAGTCTGACAAAAACTATGGCTTCTATTGTGTTTTTAAGCTACTTCCAACGTATTTCCGGTATATCAAGGGCAATAACTCCGAAAATATATGTCGAATCGCACTAAAATTAAAATATATGTTTAAATCAAAATAATTATATTTTAAAAAAATATACACACCTTGAATGAACTCCAAGGTCTGTGATGCTTTCGGATGATACTCTAAGTTAAAAATGTAGTAAACACCAAAAAGTATTAGAACTGCATCATCTATTGAATCAACTGTTTTAACTACTTTGTTTTCCAAAACAATATGTAACATTAAAGGACTGTAAAGGTCACCTGAAATATCAACACAAACATGCTTAATCACAAAAATATTTGATAGTTCAACCTTTCAATAGAGTGACAATACAAATATTTTTATAAATCCTAAGAATTGCCAAAGAAAAGACTGTCATGGGCATAAGTGTTAGAATAACACTCAATCATTTTTCTGATGTTCTGGAAACTTGATAGAAACATAAAAGGGTTCCCATATCAGTGAGTTTACTAAAAATACATTTCACCATTCCAATAGACATTTTCGAAAGATTGAGTGGTGCCAGTAAGAATGGTGAATTTTCTTTCCCAGCCGGCAAACAAAAATTATAGGCGGTCTGGTGCCAATATGCCGGCTATTTTTCCAACCCTAAAGACGGACAAAATAATTATTGGAAGATGAAGCTTTTGCTGAAAGGCACATCTATAGTATCTTAATAATGTGTATATCAAGTTTGGTGGAAACATCTTGAATAGTTTTGGAGTTATCCTCTGGAAACAATTTTTGACGAACAGACAAGACAGATGCCGCCCGTTTGTAGATCCCCCACCCAATTTCGTTGGCGGGTGATAATTATCGGAAGATGAAACATTTGCTGAAAGGCAAATCTATAGTATCTCATTAATGTGTGACAGACGGACAAAATAATTATCCGAAGATGAAACTTTTGCTGAAAGGCACATCTCTTGTATTTTATTGTTGTGTATACCAAGTTTGGTGAAAATATCTTGAATAGTTTTGGAGTTATTCTCTGGAAACGATTTGTGACGGACGGACGGACAGACCGGCTCAATCGACTTATGTGGATTTTGACTTATGAGGTGCGGGGCGTACAAATGGATTTTTGTGGTGTGGTTTATCTGACCCATTTAACTGGGGTGATCAATCCAGATAAAAGGCAAGTTGCAACTCATTTCATGCAATGGCACTTTTACGACAATAATAATAATGATGAAACAAGTGGAGTGTTTGGTAATGCCACAATATTACACAAATATTGAATCATAAACCCAGACGTCTTACTTGTATGGCCTTCAATTCATGACCAGACCCGTCTACTGAGCTATAACTATATTTAAGAAGCTTGAGGGCCCGTCGTGTAAAGGTCCCTTGTACGACATATGACCTGCAGTTCACCGACCACAGACAAATTATCTTTCAAGTTTCTGGAATGTATATGGGCCCTTGTGTCCGACTTAGATGAACAAGACCCGCAGCTTAGGACAAGCCAATAAGATATACGTTGAAATGAGCTGCAACCCACCCCCACAGACAAATTATCTCCCCCTTCTCCACAAGATTTTTGAAATCGAGTCCTTGAAATCCTTCATCCGAAATAATGAGCCCAGGTGTCCGCCTATGATGGACTGCAGCCCAGAACAAGACTCAATATTTGGCAGACATATGCGCTGCAACTCTTAAATCCCGTTACTTTGATGAGCGCAGCTTAGGACAAGCCAATAAGATATACGTTGAAATGAGCTGCAACCCACTCCCACAGACAAATTATCTCCCCCTTCTCCACAAGATTTTTGAAATCGAGTCCTTGAAATCCTTTATCCGAAATAATGAGCCTAGGTGTCCGACTATGATGGACTGCAGCCCAGAACAAGACCCAATATTTGGCAGACATATGCGCTGCAACTCTTAAATCCCATTACTTCGATGAGCGCAGCTTAGGACAAGCCAATAAGATATACGTTGAAATGAGCTGCAACCCACTCCCACAGACAAATTATCTCCCCCTTCTCCACAAGATTTTTGAAATCGAGTCCTTGAAATCATTCATCCGAAATAATGAGCCTAGGTGTCCGACTATGATGGACTGCAGCCCAGAACAAGACCCAATATTTGGCAGACATATGCGCTGCAACTCTTAAATCCCATTACTTTGATGAGAGCAGCTTAGGACAAGCCAATAAGACACTCGGCTAATCTCGACAGATTCCGTAAACTACGTAAACTACATCTAGTCTCGGATGTATGACAGTAAGTGATATGTACCTACGCCCATACATTTGCGATGCGGCTACCGGTTTACTTTAACAGGAAAACTTGACGCTATTACACAAATTGGGAACCTATTCGGCTAGCGACCTATTCGACCGATCGAGCTGCAACCTGTTCGTTGGAAACCTATTTCGAGTAAAGACAACAGTCTCTATTTATCAATCAATAAAATCCAACGTTATGTCTATCAAATGAAAGTAGAATATATTATTTTTTATCCATTCCTTCAGCTCAGAATAGAAGTGTAATTTCGTCATTATCTTACAGTTGGATCGGTCGAATAGGTCGCTAGCCAAATAGGTCGCCAACTTGTGTTTGGAATGGGCGCAGCCATGTTTCATCCGGTACCTTTAAAGTAGTTCCAATATGGCGGAATTCATCATACAGCCGAGTTTAGATTCCGAAATCTTACGAGGTTTGCCGAGTGGCCAATAAGATATACGTTGAAATGAGCTGCAACCCACTCCCACAGACAAATTATCTCCCCCTTCTCCACAAGATTTTTGAAATCGAGTCCTTGAAATCCTTCATCCGAAATAATGAGCCTAGGTGTCCGACTATGATGGACTGCAGCCCAGAACAAGACCCAATATTTGGCAGACATATGCGCTGCAACTCTTAAATCCCATTACTTTGATGAGCGCAGCTTAGGACCAGGGGCGTTTTAAGGTTTATCATGGTGGAGGCTATACTATTTTGAGGGGCCTTTTCGCGGGGGCGTCTTGGTTGATGATTTTTATATCAATGCAATGACTGCATTCGCATTCAGTAATGGACGCGACAGTAACATTGTATAGAAAACGATAGACTAGGACTCGGGGCACTTTCCCTTGGCCAGAGGGGCCCTTTTGTTAGACGTGGGGGCCTTTTGCCTGCCTTTAGGGGCCCTCTAACTAGGGTACATTTTCATTTTTCTCATCGGTTTTAGCATTTTTCTCCCGTTTTACTTTTCCAATTTCTTTGATTTTTTTCGCGAGGAGGCTGGCGCCTCCAGCGCCTCAGCTATAAAACGCCTTTGCTTAGGACAAGCCAATAAGATATACGTTGAAATGAGCTGCAACCCACCCCCACAGACAAATTATCTCCCCCTTCTCCACAAGAGTTTTGAAATCGAGTCCTTGAAATCCTTCATCTGAAATAATGAGCCCAGGTGTCCGACTATGATGGACTGCAGCCCAGAACAAGACCCAATATTTAGCAGACATATGCGCTGCAACTCTTAAATCCCATTACTTTGATGAGCGCAGCTTAGGACAAGCCAATAAGATATACGTTGAAATGAGCTGCAACCCACTCCCCTTACAAATTATCTCCCCCTTCTCCACAAGATTTTTGAAATCGAGTCCTTGAAATCCTTTATCCGAAATAATGAGCCTAGGTGTCCGACTATGATGGACTGCTGCCCAGAACAAGACCCAATATTTGGCGGACATATGCGCTGCAACTCTTAAATCCCATTACTTTGATGAGCGCAGCTTAGGACCAGGGGCGTTTTAAGGTTTATCATGGTGGAGGCTATACTATTTTGAGGGGCCTTTTCGCGGGGGTGGGGGCGTCTTGGTTGATGATTTTTATATCAATGCAATGACTGCATTCGCATTCAGTAATGGACGCGACAGTAACATTGTATAGAAAACGATAGACTAGGACTCGGGGCACTTTCCCTTGGCCAGAGGGGCCCTTTTGTTAGACGTGGGGGCCTTTTGCCTGCCTTTAGGGGCCCCCTAACTAGGGTACATTTTCATTTTTCTCATCGGTTTTAGCATTTTTCTCCCGTTTTACTTTTCCAATTTCTTTGATTTTTTTCGCGAGGAGGCTGGCGCCTCCAGCGCCTCAGCTATAAAACGCCTTTGCTTAGGACAAGCCAATAAGATATACGTTGAAATGAGCTGCAACCCACCCCCACAGACAAATTATCTCCCCCTTCTCCACAAGAGTTTTGAAATCGAGTCCTTGAAATCCTTCATCTGAAATAATGAGCCCAGGTGTCCGACTATGATGGACTGCAGCCCAGAACAAGACCCAATATTTGGCAGACATATGCGCTGCAACTCTTAAATCCCATTACTTTGATGAGCGCAGCTTAGGACAAGCCAATAAGATATTATCTCCCCCTTCTCTACAAGATTTTCACATCAAAGCTTTTGAAATCATGTATTCGAAATACAGAGCCTTAATGTCCGACAATAGGGTAAGACTTCGGACAATATCTGATGCACCTCAAATCTCATAAATTAAAGGACTCTCTGAAAGGGCAGCACAGTTAAAAAATAAAAGCAATCTTCAATATAAATGTATTGCCATATTCTTCAGTTTAAAGCAACATACATGTACATATTAAAAGTATTTTTATTACTTTTATTCATGATTAAAAAAAACTGAAACCTCTGACTGTCAGAGTCTGACCGATGGATTTACAAGAAAATAAAAAAACAATTCTAAATTGAGTCTGAAAACCCATATCTATATTCATATATATATATTGTATAACAAAAAATAAGCTTTGGAGCTAATATTATTAGCTTATACCCTTAAAACAATACCAAAGTGAAATACTGCCCATTTGGAAAAGAAAAGGAAATCAGTACTCCAATTTAAAATTTAGATCATTTTGACAACAGGCCTTAGGTTAGTGCAAGACAATACAACAAACAGATTAGGATAGGTCATTTGAATCAATTTTTGTTCAACTTATCAATTAGCCTGAACATTTTCTTTTTTAAAACATCTTTTTTCCTCTTCCATAAGACTCCACCATTTAATTTGCTTCTTTCTAAAGCCTTCTGACAATCTTTCGGAGACGGTCTTTTTTTCTTTAATATACACTTCTTAAACAGCTGCTTTATCTCTTCGTCTTCTTCAGGAGTCCACTTAACCTTGATTGAAACTGCAGGCTTTCGTTTATCTTTTATTTCCTCACAGTCACTGTCCATTTGCGACTCTTCAAACACCTGTTTATCAAAGTCTTCTGTGACTGGGCTTTGAACCTGATCATCCATAACCAAATCTAAAAGGAATGATTGAACAAATGAATGGTGCACAGATTACTGGCGAATGAGGACAGGCTTTCACCATGCAATGTGGGATACTTTGTCAGGACAGCAGACTAACAGACCTACTCTTTTTGAATTTTCAACTGTTGAGGGATTTTAACATGCACTCCGGTAGCACACATGTCTTAAGTCTTCATGCTATTTGAACGACAAGCATCTTTTTTTTACTTGACCGGATCAATGATGGGGAAAATGTATAAAATGCAGTGTTCAGTTGAATTTAAAAATTTCGTAAAACAAGTTCGTGAATCATCCTTTGCTTTAAAATTAAAGTCAATTAAAAATATCCACACAAAGTAAACTGTTAAAAAACAGTAAAAGACAAGGCATACATAAAATAAACAAAACTAGTTATGTGGACTTTCCATATGACATGAAAAGTGGTATCAGGTGTTCCGGAGGGGTAAGCATACCCTGCCTTGTGCACAGCACCCGCCACAAAACAGTAACTAGCAAGTGATGTTGAATAAACATGTGAATTAGCCATTTAGTCCATTCATTTCAAAAGCATAAAAATTTACCTTCAATCTGAATGTCTTTCAAAGACATGTTTTTATATTTTCCTATCTGATTACTGTCTTGTAACAATAATAACTTGGCTATCTGTGTCTTCTCAAGTATTTCACTTGAAGCTCTGAAATTTAATGTTGATATGTTATTCATTCTGATTTGCAATCAGACTGTAAATAAATTAGGAAGTCGATGACATAAGGCTGCAAATTGATCCAGACAGGGCGCTTCGGTTATCAGAAGGATTGCAATCACACAATTCTTACCTTCGAATTTCTGTTTGTTTTATTGCGACTATGTTGTATTATATATGTAAAATAAAGTTATTTATCAGAAGTGTCTTTATGTTGTCCATTTTGTTGCTCATATCTGAACTATGCATTTCTCTGACCTAAATTCTTATAATTATGTCAATATTTGAATCATATGGCATGTAGCGTTAGAAACTTATCCATGATTATTGTCAATTAGGAATATTGTCAGCACCCTATAATGAAAATGACAAACCCAGCAAGTTGTATTTCAGAATCTAAGATACTACTGTACAATGATATAGCAGATGGCTCAGAAAAAAATCATTACTGATAAAAGTTATAAAACTTTGAAATTAACAATGTTTTTACTGAGTCACCTAATATATTGGGGCTTCATGAGCTACTACATAAAGGTTTAAAGTAATAATTGACTAAAAATAATCAGTTATTTTACCTGTAGTGAATCTTATGTACATCCATGCTATGTCCTAAATGGTCTAAAACCCAATTCATTTCATTCGGCTTAAGGTCAAATACCTAAAATTTAAAAAAAACCAAAACAGTAATATTCAGGAATTGAAGGCATAGCCGCCCCCCTTTCCCAATATCTTTGGTAATGAAAATATCAAATGTCACACAAACCCAAAACAGCTAAAAGGTGTTTTTTTTATGGGGGGGGGGGGTGTATGTTAATGCTCAGCCCCCTCCCCCCCCCCCAATATTGAAATCTCTAGGGCTTAGTCCCCCCCCCCCCCCCTATAAAAATCGCTCCGCAGCCCCTGAATTTATCTATGAGCTGGTCCATGATAATGCCTTAAAGGGTATTCTCTATCACTAACAATACTACTACTTTGCTATATTATAGTGCATTTTCTCCCAATTAAAGTCTTTATAAAGTAGCTACCTGGGTTACTGTGGCCATGTATTTTCTTAAATTGGTGCTTGTTATCAGCTGTGGAGATTTCAACGGTGCTCTAGAACAAGCCTTTAAAACTGAATTGTATGCTCTTATAACCCCCTCACCTGAAATAATACAAGATTAAGAATAAGATTACTATTAGCCACTAAAAGTTCCTTGACTTATCCTGGATATATAAAATGGCAAAGAAAAATCTAAATTCTGTCTTGATACAAACTTTCGCTTGATCAATGTCACAAAAAATAATTGACTTTATATTTGATTAATAAAAGGATTTATCACACCTCGAAATAATTGTATAATATTAACTTAACAATGACAATTAAAACACTGAGAGTCAATATCTACCTTTCCCAGCAAAGACATAAACATTCTTGGAACTTATTCCACAAGCACTTCTAACAGAGCTGTCAGTTAAATAACTTAAAGGTGCTTTTGTGATGGCAGGTAAAATTACAGGAACTCCTCGACCAGTCTGAAAGTAGCATAAAGAAACATTAAATATACAATGAGGGAAAGAATGGTTTTAATGCTCTATTGAACTGAACAGATTTCCAGCTACTGAGAACTGGCCTTCACCATCTATTCTGCAATGAAAGAATTTTCCCAAGACAACAGCACAAACACACCCTATCTTTTTCGATTTCCAATGGTCCACAGATCTTTAACATGCACTCTTATGTGTACGACTTTTTAATTTTTACTTGTCAGCCTCTGACCGGCATCACTGACAAGGAATAACCGTGCTGAAAATTTCAAAGTTAAGATCAATACCTTGGCTAGGATTCCAACCCTAGACACCTTAATTAGCAGCAAGTGACAAAATCATTAAATATACATATAAATGAAATTAAAATCTAATGAAAATGAAGATATTAAGAGATTACTAATTCATAGAAATTAAGTATCATATCTGATTGAAAATACACACCTTTCCCCTCACTGTCATAACTTCTTGTTCCGTTAAAAGTTTCCTCTCAAACTCTGATAGTTGACCCACCAAATGATGTGGTGCTTCACCCTTTTTCCTATTTTCATAATCTGCAAGTCTGAAAGCAAAATTCATAAATAGAGAAAATCCTGAAGATGGACTAGCCTTAGAAGGTACAATGTTACTCAATAACATATATAATAATTCCAAGATAAAAGTTGATTTCAAAAAAGGAGAATGCCCAAGCTTTGTAGAGCATGTTTGCAATTATGACTACGATATATACTGGTTTGCAAAATATTAATCATTTGAATAGGCTCAACCAAATTTATGTCAACATCTATACAAAAGATATCAACTAGAATGGAATTAACATTAACAGTAGAGACATACCTTATGGCCTCTAGTTCACCAACTCTTCTTCTGTTGTATATAACTAACTTTGCTTCAACCACTTCAACAACATTGGTAAAATTTTCAAGTGTAGTTGTCGTTAAATCTAAACCTTTTAAAGAACATTCAAGACTTTTATTCAATTCTTCAATATCATCTGGATTTGGAAGTTGCTTGTGTTTTTCATATTTTCTCTGCTCTAATATCACATTTGACAATTTTGCTACCCTAGTCCCCCAAAAAATTTCCATGGTTTTTAATAAATCTTCTGCTTCCTTTCTGCTAGGTTCATCATTAGTCATGATCGATATTCCAATCTTACCATTTATTAGTTTTTTAATGTCAAATCCAAGCTTACGGGCATTGCTTGGTTTTTCAAGGTTATCCTCACTTATAGCATTTGCAGTTTTCAATGTAGCCTCAACTATATCATCAAAAAAAGAAGCCTTCAAGTAATTCCAGAAAATTGGTTCCTCTGTAATAGGTGTTATTTCTCTCAGATTGATGAGGAGCCGGGCACATAATCTCATTATTTGACCTGTGTAAGCACCTCTTTTAAGATGATTTCCCACATTTTTTTGGATCCACTGATTCCCAAGTTGAACAATTAAGGGATCTTCGCGAGCAACAGTTCCTATCATATCCATGTTCATTGAGCTAAATACCTCATTTAAAAGTGTCTGACTTGGACTGGTGTGAATGCGTCCAGATATAATTTTAGACTGTGTAATTAATGATGCAGATTTGGAAAAATCACACTTAGCAACACATACATTCTTATGTTTTCTTAGTAATTTATGATTCAACCATAAATAGCATCCAGGGCAAGGTCCATACTCTTTTAATTCAAATTTTCCATGAGGTCGCCTTTCTAATATGATTTCACCTTTACCACGCTTTAATGTATTCATGTTAAATTCATGGTTGAATTTGCTACGCAGTAAAGTGCACTTTCTGTTTCTACTATGCTTATCTTCATCTTGTAATATATCTAACAACTGTTCACAATTGGCATGAGCTTGAAGATTACGGTTTCGAGAAATGTGCTGTGAAAAATTTGACACCTTTTTCTTACATAAATGACAATATTGGTAGCTGTTGTATACCCTATCAATCTTCTTCTTTCTTCCACTTTTTGAAGTTGAGCTTTTAAGAATTTTGAAAACATAAATACTTGTTTTATCTGCGGCTCTAGTTATCTCCTCTTCATTAACATCTTCATCATCACTATCGGATTCCTCACAAACAACATCTTCATGTAAATTCACAGATTTTCTGCTACTTGGCTTTTGAGATAGCATAGGAAAGACTTCACTCAGTGGCGATGAACATACACTGTCACTAACATATGATTTTTCTTCATTACAACTGTCGCTGTCTGGGACATATTCTGATCTGAAGATACAAGATCATCAGAATAGTCTGAGCAAGTCAGTGGATGTGGCTTGGAACCATTAGCCTGTACAGAAGATGTATGTACATCTGTGGTATTTGATGCAAGTGAATCTGAATAATCTGAATGTGGTGACTGGCATGACTGCAAAGTACCAAGAATACATCCAGATGAGGTACCTGGAAGTGAATCTACTAGTGTTCCTAATTCAGTAGTGGTTGGCAGTACATCGGATTGAGTTGTAGGTGGTGGTGAATCGGGTTGAGTTGAGGTTGGTGGTGAATCGTGTTGAGTTGAGGTTGGTGGTGAATCGTGTTGAGTTGAGGGTGGTGGTGAATCTGGTCGTGTCATAGGTGGTGGTGAATCTGGTTGAGTTGAGGGTGGTGGTGAATCTGGTTGAGTTGAGGGTAGTGGTGAATCTGGTTGAGTTGAGGGTGGTGGTGAATCTGGTCGTGTCATAATAGGTGGTGGTGAATCTGGTTGAGTTGAGGGTGGTGGTGAATCTGGTTGAGTTGAGGGTGGTGGTGAATCGGGTTGAGTTGAGGATAGTGATGAATCTGGTTGAGTTGAGGGTGGTGGTGAATCTGGTTGAGTTGAGGGTGGTGGTGAATCGTGTTGAGTTGAGGGGGGTGGTGAATCTGGTTGAGTTGAGGGTAGTGATGAATCTGGTTGAGTTGAGGGTGGTGGTGAATCTGGTTGAGTTGAGGGTGGTGGTGAATCTGGTTGAGTTGAGGGTGGTGGTGAATCGTGTTGAGTTGAGGGTAGTGATGAATCTGGTTGAGTTGAGGGTGGTGGTGAATAGGGATGAGTTGAGGGTGGTGGTGAATCGGGTTGAGTTGTGGGTGGTGGTAAAACTTGTTGTGTTGTGGGTTGTGGTAAAACTTGTTGTGTTGAGGGTGATGGTAAATCTGGTCGAGTTGTGGGTTGTGGTAAAACTGGTTGAATTGTGGGTGGTGTCAAATCTGGCTGAGCTGTAGGTGGCAATAATACTGGTCCAGTAGTGGTTTGTGATAAATCTGGTTGAGTTATGGATGGAGGTGCAGCAGGTGGCGTTGCTCCTGGGAGAGTTGTAGGTGGTGGTGAATCGTGTTGAGCAGTGAATGATCCTTCATCCTGCAACCTTTTTTTCACTACTTAAAAAAAAAACACAAGAGAAACAATTGCAAAATTAAAACAAGAGGGTGGCAGCAGCAGACATACAACCACCTATGTTAAATGTGTATGTTTCCTTTTTTTTCTCTATGGAGCCCATTCAAAATGTTATGTGGCTTTCTTTTAACTAAGAAGTTTATTTTTTTAACTAAGAAGTTCCAGTTTCATATCATAATCCCAATTTTCAGAAATAAAATATACCCTATCAAAAATTTCAGAAAAATACAATTTAAAAATATTCTTTAACTTATAAGTCACAAAGCTGTACAGCTATGCTATGATTCTTTTTTTCTTCTTGTAAATGCACAGCTATGATTTTATCCTTTCAAGCAAGTTTGCTCAAAATTAAAACTTGAAATTGATTTGGAATCATATAAATAGTATGCGATCATATTATAACATAAAATGCAATGCAAGTACACTTAAATTCATACCTGGGGATGACTGGTTAATCATCTCTGATAAAAAAAGAAAGGAGGTTAAAAGAAACTTCGAATTCCATACATCTTCTGAATATGGCAATCCAACCATTACACAAAATTATAAATGCCAGCAGATATCAGATATCTTTATTTTTATAGCATTAAAAATCTAACCTTCAATCCATTTTATATCTGATAAGAAACAGTTAAGAGTGTCATACTTCTTCTTTTTCTTGAGATATTCTAAAAAGAAAAATTGGATGATTTATATTATCATTGCTAAAGTAAATCGAAAAACGTACCTAATTATATTTTAAAAAATAAATTGCAAAGTGTTGGATGCAAGTGCAATGTCCCTTTGTAAGTTAGCATAAACATAAAAGTAAGTCTTGCAATATGGCTCAGAAAATTATTGATTATCGCAAGTTGGAAATTTCTTGCGATGTATTGTAGCAGTCCTTTTTGACCATTTTTCTGGGGCCATTATGACCAAATTTTGGGGCCATTTTGACTATAACCCGAGACTCGGTCGGTCGGTTCTTATTTTTATTTTATCTTATTTTTTTCAAATTATAAATATTATAACACTACACTATTAATATTTAGTTCTATCCTTTCGTTTGCCCAAATTGTGTTTGCTTTGAGTTTTGACGCTAAATGTTACTTTTTATAACATCGCATCAGCATCGTGTTGCCGTAGTTGGCAGAGCAGGTAGTCCATACCGTACGGCACGGGTCGTTTATTTCCTCCAAAAATTAAGAAAAGAGGCGGCCTATTAAATGTATAGGCCTAAATTACTTTTAAAGCCTAATTTTATACATCAGCGTTGTATAAAATAGACCCGACAGCGACTAAAATATACGCAACATCGTATAATATCCATTATTTATCAGCTATCATTATCAGTTATCATTATCAGCTGAAACAGACGTTTTATACTGCGCATGCGCGGAGGTTTAAAAATTATACCACAAGTGATTTCAGAAAAAAGAAGTACGTTGCGATGTTTAGAAATCTACAATTTAAGTAAAAATAAAAATTGCCATGATCAGCAATAGTTTTATTGATAAATTAATACAACGTTGCATTCTACAGAAAATAAAGCAGCGTCTTGCATTGTCTTCGTTCGTAAAAAAAACATTCGTTTCCTTTTAGCTGAACCAAGTATAGAAAGAAACTTTACAACTCAGTATATTAGAAATAAAACTAAGTACCGATAATAACAGCGAGATCACCGTTATGCGTAACTTTTGAGCTAGTGGACGTGTTTACAACGCAAATGCAGCAGTAATATGCTGTTTTTTAAGGATTATTTAAAATGGTGTCGGCTAATTCACTTTTCCGCGGCAAAACCAGGCAGTCGCCGGGTCTAAAAAATTTTTTATTTTCATAATTCGCCGAAAAAAATGTCAGTCGGCGGTATTTGTAGAGGGTCGGTCGGGTTACCGGAAACAGAACCCTTTTTTTTTAGGCCTGAAGATAAAATCAACAAATATTTTTCAACAATTAAAAATTGAAACATTAACAAATTAGTAAAAACAAAATAAAACATCAAAATCAATTATATATCTAATCATGCTGGATTTTCTTATTCCAAAAGCAATTCAAATTGAGCAAAGAAAAATTAACAATTAAGAAAATTAACGAAATTTCAATAAAGTATACTTGTGCCAGAATCCTTGAGATGGTAATTTTCTCTATATGGTACAATCTGTGAAGATTTTACCATGAACCTGGTGAAAAGTTAATTAAGTTAAAATTTTTACATGTGATCTAAAATTAGATCCCTTAATTTCTTTAACAGCCACCAAAACACTTAAACACAGTGGCGTATTTAAGGGGGAACTTTCAAGAATTCTATCAAGATCCCTTACACAATTACACATGTGGAAAATGTTATAATTCAGTATGGTTTAAATACATTTAAATATCATGAAATGGGCTGACAACTTGAACAAGATACGTTCAATCAAAGGACCAACCAAAAAAACAAATCTTCATTACGATACTTACTCCGTTTGATCGCAGTTACAAAAAACAGAAGAAGTAGAACTTTTCTTTTTAGGCTCCTGTTCATTTACTAGTAAAACAGGCCACATAATTGCCCCTGGTAATGGAGCCCAAACAAAGGTTGAGGAGTCTTTCCTTTTAGGCATCTTAGTGCTAGATACAAAAACCAAAAATTAATATTAATAATTATTCAATGAATATAAGCTATTTGAATATCAGACAGCCTTTTCCATACCTTATTGTCTTAGCCACATTATCAAATTACAAAGTAAATGGACTTTAGTGTGGACATGTTGTCCTATCCGGAAAATGCGAATTCGGTTGAATCCAATGCACGGTAAGATCACAATTTAACATGAAATCCTGTTTGCACTGCATTGACAAGGTAGAGACAGAATGAAGCTCAGACGTCATTTAGACGGCAAGGTATAGTCGAAGTGCAACAGAGCTCCTTGTCGTCTAATATTTTTGACTAATTACAAAGTGGCTGTTCTTACGGGTGTACGGACGTTTGCCCCCCTGGACATTTGCACAAATTTCCACTGTCTTCAGTCTATCACGGCCGTCAGCGCACACCTTGTGCAAACGTGCCTGGAAGTTTATGGCTGATTTAATCACAAAATTGTAGACAAATTCACTTGAACCGTATGCAGTGGCTTACTGCTTTCAGAAAATATTTTTATATTAATTTTTTTTTGTCCCCCGCCTTTCGAAGAAAGCAGGGGACTATTAAAATGGGTTCGTCCGTCTGTCTGTCTGTCTGTCTGTCTGTCCGTCTGTCTGTCCTTCTGTCTGTCCGTCTGTCTGTCCGTCACACTTTTTGGGACACAATAACTCTCTTCCTAATTGAGCTAGAATGTTCAAACTTGGTGTATGTGTTTATTAGGTCAATGCCTTGATGGAGTTCGAAGATGAGCATTTTCCGCTTAGGGTAAGCAGAGATAAGCAATTTGATTGGTTGATGCTTTGGGACACGATAACTCTCTTCCTAATTGGGCTAGAATGTTTAAACTTGGTGTATGTGTTGATTAGGTCAATGCCTTGATGGAGTTCGAAGATGAGCATTTTCCGCTTAGGGTAAGCAGAGATAAGCAATTTGATTGGTTGATGCTTTGGGACACGATAACTTTTGATTGAGCTAGAATGTTCAAACTTGGTGTATGTGTTTATTAGGTCAATGCCTTGATGGAGTTCGAAGATGAGCATTTTCCGCTTAGGGTAAGCAGAGATAAGCAATTTGATTGGTTGATGCTTTGGGACACGATAACTCTCTTCCTAATTGGGCTTGAATTTTCAAACTTGGTGTATGTGTTGATTAGGTCAATGCCTTGATGGAGTTCGAAGATGAGCATTTTCCGCTTAGGGTAAGCAGAGATAAGCAATTTGATTGGTTGATGCTTTGGGACACGATAACTTTTAATTGAGCTAGAATGTTCAAACTTGGTGTATGTGTTTATTAGGTCAATGCCTTGATGGAGTTCGAAGATGAGCATTTTCCGCTTAGGGTAAGCAGAGATAAGCAATTTGATTGGTTGATACTTTGGGGCACGATAACTCTCTTCCTAATTGAGCTAGAATGTTCAAACTTGGTGTATGTGTTGATTAGGTCAATGCCTTGATGAGCATTTTCCGCTTAGGGTAAGCAGAGATAAGCAATTTGATTGGTTGATGCTTTGGGACACGATAACTTTAGTTCTAATTAAGTGAGATTGATGAAACTTGGTGTATAGTTTCATTACAGTAATACCTTGACTAAGTTTGATAATGAGCATTTTCTGCTCAGGGTAAGCAGCAATTTGATTGGTTGATACTTTGGGGCACGATAACTCTCTTCCTAATTGAGCTAGAATGTTCAAACTTGGTGTATGTGTTGATTAGGTCAATGCCTTGATGGAGTTCGAAGATGAGCATTTTCCGCTTAGGGTAAGCAGAGATAAGCAATTTGATTGGTTGATGCTTTGGGACACGATAACTTTAGTTCTAATTAAGTGAGATTGATGAAACTTGGTGTATAGTTTCATTACAGTAATACCTTGACTAAGTTTGATAATGAGCATTTTCTGCTCAGGGTAAGCAGAGCGATACGCAATTTGATTGGTCGAGACTTTGGAAAACAATAACTCTCCTACTTTGATTGTCCCCCGCCTTTCGAAGAAAGCAGGGAACTATTAAAATGGGTTCGTCCGTCTGTCTGTTTGTCTGTCTGTCCGTTTCGCTTATGGTAAGCAGAAAAAACAAATTGAAAAAGAAACTATTATAAATTAATTAAATATGTAGTATGCAATAATGAATTGACATTTAATGACAGAAAGAAAACAGTGAACTTTGCACAACTTGCAGCAAGATGGAAAATAGACCCGTTGATACAACCAAACTCTAGATCTGTAGGCATAGAGCATGTTTTCCCCTTAATATGCTATAATTATTCCATCAAAAACATTGTATGCTTAGACTATAAGTAAAGATATACTGTTTGATTGTTCAATACTTTGTAAAAGATAATTTGTGATAAATTTATATGTGTCCTCTAATTATTTTCCTATTTCGGCGGGGGACATCAGCCTCACTGTTGGCTTGTTTATCAATAAAATGTGTTAAAATTTTGTTTATTTTTTTTATTATATTCAACACATAAACAATTAAACATATCCCACGAAAAATGGTAGTGGGGGGGGGGGCAAATGTCCTCTTCATTTAGTAGGAGGGGCAGACGTCCAGGGGGGCAGAAGACCGGGACGGCAAATGTCCAGGGGGGGGGGGGGGCAAATGTCCTACATTCATTCTTACGTGACCACTTTGATCAATATTCTTACCTGAATATAAGAAACAGAGAGTTGAGACAGTTTGTAATTAAGACACACAATGAGATTATCTCCTAATGTTGTAAAATGATGGATCCCATCGAACAAGTTGGAGATAAATTTCTTTGCACAATTTTAGGACTTGGTATCCAATAAAAATGACCAGCAAAAAAATGAGTAAGACGAGAATATCCAATATATATATGCCTGACAATACTTGATTCATGAATGTTTCTTCCATCATAACAACATGAACGGTTGGATTCAAAGAGTGGAGTATCAGAATATGACTTTTTCCGAGATGAAAACGAAAAAGTGCGAGAAAAAAAAATAAAAATGGCGGCTGTGAAATGTGACGTGGTTAGTCAGTGCCACAGAAGTTTCTTGTCGGCCAAATAACCCCAGATTTAGTTTCAGACATACGCTCAAAACACCATATGAAATAGAAATAAGTAATTTAATCTAAACGAACGCTACAATAATAAGAAAAAAATATAACTTACTCTCTGATAATGAAAAAAGCTTGTGAGATTGCAGCTTTATTTTATCCACTTGCAACCACGTGCTTGCAGCTCAAATTGTAGTCGTGATCATTGCGCATGTGTGGACATCTCACCGAGTTCAAATAGTCTTGGTTATCCAATTACGAATAAATTTGAGACTGGACAATCGATCCAAAAAAAGGGAACTAACTTCATTTTACTGCTCTCTCACACGGTCTTGACCGTTTTGCACGGACGATAACGCGGACAGAACTTCGTCCGTTATTTTATGGGTTGCGTCACACTTTGTCCGATTTTATGCAATGATTTGACCGTGCGAGGAAATGTAAGTGGTAATTTTACGAGTTGCAACGCATAAGTCAAAATCACCCCAGAAATACAGAAATGACTCACCATTAACCACAGTACTCCAATGGGTGAGAGCGTACTGACGCACAGGTACTTGTGTTGTTTTTGACTTGTGGGGTTATGAACGTATAATATGTACTTATGCTGTGCACATTATGTGTCCATTTTTGTGAGGTTTTTAATCCTAAAAGAATTTTTGAGTTGCACCCCAATTTTAAAGAAATTTGTAATGGTTATGTTACAATTTTTTTTCACATTTTTATATCTTATCAATTGCTTTCAATCTGCATTGAACAAGTATTAAGCATTTGATTTAAAAAGTGATACTCAGCTAAATGTATTGCTTACAAATTTTGCAGTGCATAACGCTGCTTTGATAAAGAGCTCAAGGCCAAGTTGGGAAGAATACCTGTTCCTTATTGCAGGTTGGCAGGACAATTTCTAGTATCCATAGAAACTTCATACAGCAATTTGCATGTTGTGGGCAGATTAGCCAATAGGTTGATGGACACTATTCAACCCAGTTAGACCACAAATATCCCCACACATCACAGACAAATAAACCCAGTAGATAATGGACACTATGCAACCCACAGTTAGATCACAAATATCCCCACACATCATAGACAAATAAACCCAGTAGATAATGGACACTATGCAACCCACAGTTGAAACTATGCAACCCACAGTTAGATCACAAATATCCCCACACATCACAGACAAATAAATCCAGTAGATAATGGACACTATGCAACCCACAGTTAGACCACAAATATCCCCAAACATCACAGACAAATAAGCCCAGTAGATAATGGACACTATGCAACACACAGTTAGACCACAAATATCCCCACACATCACGGACAAATAAGCCCAGTAGATAATGAAAACTATGCAACCCACAGTTGAAACAATGCAACCCACAGTTAGACCACAAATATCCCCACACATCACAGACAAATAAGCCTAGTAGATAATGGACACTATACAACCCACAGTTAGACCACAAATATCTCCACACATCACAGGCAAATATGCCCAGTAGATAATGGACACTATTAACCCAGTTAGACCACAAATATCCCCACACATCACAGACAAATAAACCCAGTAGATAATGGAAACTATGCAACCCACAGTTGAAAATATGCAACCCACAGTTAGACCACAAATATCCCCACACATCACAGACAAATAAGCCCAGTAGATAATGGACACTATGCAACCCACAGTTAGATCACAAATATCCCCACACATCACGGACAAATAAGCCCAGTAGATAATGGACACAATGCAACCCACAGTTTGAGCATAAATATCTCTAATTATCACAGACAAATAAGCCCATTAGTTAGACACCATACAACCTACAGAGCACAAATATCCCCAAACATCACAGACAAATAAACCCAGTAGATAATGGACACTATGCAACCCACAGTTAGACCACAAATATCCCCACACATCACGGACAAATAAGCCCAGTAGATAATGGACACTATGTAACCCAGTTTGACCACAAATATCCCCACACATCACAGACAAATAAACCCAGTAGATAATGGAAACTATGTAACCCAGTAGATAATGGACACTATGCAACCCACAGTTTGACCAAAAATATCCCCACACATCACGGACAAATAAGCCCAGTAGATAATGGACACTATGTAACCCAGTTAGACTACAAATATCCCCACACATCACGGAAAAATCAACCCAGTAGATAATGGACACTATGTAACCCAGTTAGACCACAAATATCCCCACACATCACAGACAAATAAGCCCAGTAGATAATGGACACTATGCAACCCACAGTTAGATCACAAATATCCCCACACATCACGGACAAATAAGCCCAGTAGATAATGGACACAATGCAACCCACAGTTTGAGCATAAATATCTCTAATTATCACAGACAAATAAGCCCATTAGTTAGACACCATACAACCTACAGAGCACAAATATCCCCAAACATCACAGACAAATAAACCCAGTAGATAATGGACACTATGCAACCCACAGTTAGACCACAAATATCCCCACACATCACGGACAAATAAGCCCAGTAGATAATGGACACTATGTAACCCAGTTTGACCACAAATATCCCCACACATCACAGACAAATAAACCCAGTAGATAATGGAAACTATGTAACCCAGAGTTCATGTTCAAATATCCCCACACATCACAGACAAATAAACCCAGTAGATAATGGACACTATGTAACCCACAGTTAGACCACAAATATCCCCACACATCACGGACAAATAAACCCAGTAGATAATGGACACTATGTAACCCAGTTTGACCACAAATATCCCCACACATCACGGACAAATAAACCCAGTAGATAATGGACACTATGCAACCCACAGTTTGACCACAAATATCCCCACACATCACGGACAAATAAGCCCAGTAGATAATGGACACTATGTAACCCAGTTAGACCACAAATATCCCCAAACATCACGGACAAATAAGCCCAGTAGATAATGGACACTATGTAACCCAGTTTGACCACAAATATCCCCAAACATCACGGACAAATAAGCCCAGTAGATAATGGACACTATGTAACCCAGTTTGACCACAAATATCCCCAAACATCACAGACAAATAAGCCCAGTAGATAATGGACACTATGCAACCCAGAGTTCATGTTCAAATATCCCCCTATGTCACAGATAGAGAAGCACAGTAGATAATGGACACTATGTAACCCAGTTAGACCACAAATATCCTTTACCTTTACCTTTCCTCTCACTGTCATTACTTCCTGGCTTTCCAAAAGTTTCTTTTCAAACGCACTGCATTGTCCAAGGAGATGTTCAGCACACTGTCCTTTCTTCCTTTGTTTGTAGTCAGTCAATCTGAAAACAGAGATTTACAAAAGTCTTTAATCATCATAAATGACTGTAAAGAAAAACTACCAGAACGAAAAAAGGTAGATAACAAAGTATGTCATGTACTGAAATTTGTTTACACTCCAAATCAATATTTCCTGATATCCAGCTGCAGTCTATTTTGCCCAATAGCACTGGACATAAACATTCAACTTTTTAAAGATATTTTGAAAATAGTGCTGTGTAACTAGATAGTGCAATAATGTAAGTCAAAACATTTGTTATACACATAAGATACCATTATGACCACAGTACAAAAACTCATTATACACATATACCGGTTATAAAAAAAAATGTTGCTTTCCACCAATAAACTTTTCCACAACAAAAGTCAAACTGTCAAAAGATCAAGTATCACAAGATCTTCAGTATTTACCTTATAGCCTGCAACTCTCCAGTTCTCCTTCGGTTGTACATAACCAACTTAGCTGAAATCACTTCAGCAACATGAATGAAGTTTTGGAAGTCTTGCACTGTCAAGTCCAAGCTTTTGATGGAGTCACTTAAACTTCTGTTAAGCTTTTCAATGTCTGAAGGTTCTGGGAGTTGTTGGTCCTTATTATAGTGCCTTTGTTCCAATAAGACACGAGACAACTTTGTTACTCTGGTCCCCCAGTACACTTCCATGGTCTTGAGAAGATCCTCGGCATGAGCTCGGCTTGCTTTATCCTCCCTAATAATCGACAGTCCTATTTTACCATTAAGAAGACGCTTGATGTCAAAACCAAGTTTGACTGCATTGCTCGGTTTCTTCAAATCTTCCTCGTCATCCATATCTGGTGCAGCGGTCATTAAGGTTGCTTCTACTATTGCATCAAAATGCGATGGCTTCAGATAATTCCAAAGGCTCTGTTCCTCTCCAGCTGGCAATGGCTTAATGTTTCTTAAGTTAATCAGTAATCTTCCAACTAACCTCAGAATCTGAGAAGTGTAGCTTCCTCTCTTAAGTCTATTGCCGACATTCTTCTCCATCCACTGATTACCAAGCTGTATAATCAAACTATCTTCACGTACAACCTTTCCTATTGCGTCCATGTGCATGATCTGAAAGACTTCTTTTACGAGATTAGAGCTTGCAATGTGTTGTATCCTCCCAGAAATTGTGTCTGATTGAGTTAGTAAATGCGCAGATGATGGACGTATATTGTGAGATTCTGCTTTGGCCACACAAGATTTCTGGTGTTTTCTAATCAACTGTTTGGACATCCAAAAAAGGCAGCCTGGGCAAGGACCGTAATCATGCAAACTGAAGGATGACGAAGGACGACGTTCCAGGAAGATTTCACCTCTACCTTTTTGCAAAGTTTTCATATTGTACTGATTGTTAAATTTTCCTCTAAGTAAAGTTCGTAACTTATCTTTCTGTTTTTTATCAGTTTCATTGTGTATTTCCTTAACTTCAGCTGAGTTGGCGTGTTCAATCTTTGTTTTGTTCCTTTCTATATGTTGGGCAAAATTGGAGACTTTCTCCTCACACAAACCACAGTACTGGTAACTGTTGTAAACTCTGTTTATCTTTTTTAATCCAGTTTTGGTTGTATCAGCTTTCAGAAGTTTTGAAATATAAATGCCTGGATGACTCTTTTCCCGAACTATACAATCCTCATCTAAACTTTCATCACTGGAACTATCCTGACTGGATACTTCCTTACTGGATACCTCATTACTGGATACCTCCTTACTGGATACCTCCTTGCTAGATCCTACAACAGTCTTTATTTCCTTAAATGATGATGCTAGCATTGGATATATTTCACTACCATCATCAGACTCTGAGCAGTTTGGGTATAAAACTTCAACAATCTTGGAACTTTTCTTTTCTGGCTCTTCATCAGAGCCATCGGAGGATTCCGATTGGCTAGGTTGGTATTCTGAACCACTAGTACTTTCGATGGCATCTTCAAGTTCAGGTAACTTGTCCATGATGATGTCATCCTCATGTTCAGGTAACTTGTCCATGATGATGTCATCCTGAAGTTCAGGTAACTTGTCCATGATGATGTCATCCTGAAGTTCAGGTAACTTGTCCATGATGATGTCATCCTCAAGTTCAGGTAACTTGTCCACGATGATGTCATCCTCAAGTTCAGGTAACTTGTCCATGATGATGTCATGGAGTAGTGAAGTGGTCTCCTCTAAGGATAGTGTACCTTTTCTTAGATCTTTGGCAGGTGAAATATCTGTGGAAGTTGTGCCAATGTTCTGGGTTGGTGTCACATCCTTGGTTAGTGCAACATCCTTGGTAGGTGTGTCAATGTTCTGGGTTGGTGTCACATCCTTGGTAGGTGTGTCAATGTTCTGGGATGGTGCCACATCCTTGGTTGGTGTGTCCATGTCCTGTGGTGGTGCCACATCCTTGGTTGGTGTGTCAATGTCCTGTGGTGGTGCCACATCCTCGGTAGGTGTGTCAATGTTCTGGGGTGGTGTCACATCCTTGGTTGGTGTGTCAATGTTCTGGGGTGATGTCACATCCTCGGTAGGTGTGTCAATGTTCTGGGATGGTGCCACATCCTTGGTTGGTGTGTCCATGTCCTGTGGTGGTGCCACATCCTTGGTTGGTGTGTCAATGTCCTGGGGTGGTGCCACATCCTCGGTTGGTGTGTCAATGTTCTGGGGTGGTGTCACATCCTTGGTAGGCGTGTCAATGTTCTGGGTTAGTGCCACATCCTTGGTTGATACACACATGTTCTGGTTTCGTGCCACATTCTTGAATGGTGGGTCAATGTTATCAAGTGGTGCCACATCCTTGGTTGGTGTGCCAATGTTCTGAGTTGGTGTCACATCCTTGGTAGGTGTGTCAATGTTCTGGGTTAGTGCCACATCCTTGGTTGGTGCACACATGTTCTGGGTTGGTGCCACATCCTTGGTTGGTGTGTCAATGTTTCGGGGTAGTGTAATATCTGTCGAGGATGTGCAAATAGTCTGGGTTGGTGTCACATCGAGAAATGGTGTTTTCATTTCATCTGCAGAAAATCAGAATTTTATAAGTAAGAATTCCAGAACTATATCTTACAATTTATAACACTTTTAACGTAACATGTACACTTTATTGTAAAGCTATATTAAATTTGTTCAATGAGAAATGAGGATTTGTATCAAATCTGATGTCAATTCAGTATATAATTGAGAACTTACAAAATTATCAAATCTATCTAAAAAAAAAACTTTTAGGATAAAGGCCGATATGACACTGCTGCCGATGGAAAAACAACATCATGCAAAAAGGAGCACCAACAAGGATAACATAATTAAGAATTCTTGGAATAAATAACAAATTAGGGTGAAATGTGTCTGAGTGCTGAATCAATTCAGTGATTTGTACCAATGATTTACCTGTTGTCCAGGAAATATCCTCAATGAAGCAATCAACTGTTTTTTTCAAGTTCTTTTTCATTAATTTACCTAAAAGAACAAATCACAATGAATAAAAAATAATTTCTATGATAAATTTAACAGTAAATATTGATAAATAATTTCATTAACAATTTGATAATATAAATATAATAAGCGGTTTTCATAAAAAGAATATAAAGGTTATGAAGGATGCGAGTATGAACATGCGACTCCAAATAAAAAATTAAAAATATCCACACAAAGTAAACTGTTAAAAACAGTAAAAGACAAAGACATACATAAAACAAACAAAACTAGTTATGTGGAATTTCCATATGTTGGTACCTGAAACCATCTCATAGTCTGTGAGACTAGCCTTGTTGGAGGTAAATGAAATATTGAACTAAATAATAATACAAAAAAAGATAAACAAACTTAAGGAACAATGAAAATTAAAAAATCTTTCCACTAGTTTCAATAAGTGGAAAATATCGTTGTTGTCGGATGAAAACCTTGTATACGCTTTTTAGGAGACCTAACAAACCTCTTTTCTTTTTACTTTAATGTGGTAAATTGCCATGTTTTAAAAGTAAATAACACATAAGAAGTGTTTTACTTGAATTTTAATTAATTGTAATAAAATGATTTACAAATAATAACTCTCTGTGACCTCCAAAGTAAAAAAGGTAAAAAAGCGTATACCGGTACAAGGTTTACATCAGACAACGAAGATATGTCAGTACAAATCTGTGTTTACCCAATGCAGTTTTCTTGATCAAATTTAGGTTCCCAGGAAAGGGATGTGTATCCTTAGTATGTATAGTAAATCTGAAAACAATTTTTGTATACTACAATATGGCTCCTCACAGTTCCTTTTATCTTTGAGAAAAGTAAGATTGTATCATTTTTAATAATAACAAATGTCTTTTATAACTTCTTTTTCAATAAATGTCATTGATCCTGGGAAAAAAAACATATTTTAATACTGTTATGAGGTACACACACACAAATTGACTACTTACTCAGCATTGTCACTTTTAACCAGCACAGTACACAAATCTTTATCTACGTTGAGCACCTTTACTGGCCACAACACTGGGCACCTTGGTAACTGTGCCCAGACAACCATGCCCTCTGTAACTTCCTGGCTTAGATATTCCTGCAAGAATAATAAAAATCAAATCAAATAATAAAAAGTAGGAATGTTCTATCAACAGTCTTTTGATTAGTCAACCTTTGTACTTAATTTCTGAAACCTTTTTTAAGCCCTGCCCTACAGATTGCACTTTGCTTAGAATGTTTGTATTCTAGAGAGTAAAGATTCTTTCTTCTTTTTTTTCTAGCTTATTACATATTTGGTCCAGGTCCTCTCTATACACTATACATGTATATGGAAAAGATGAATAAAAAATTTCAAAACTGAAAAAACTGATATGGTAATTTAAGTGGGAAACTTAATTATCTATGATCTTATTTGTCCGTGATGTGTGGGGATATTTGTGGTCTATCTGTGGGTTACATAGTGTCCATTATCTACTGGGTTTATTTGTCCGTGATGTGTGGGGATATTTGTGGTCTAACTGTGGGTTACATAGTGTCCATTATCTGCTGGGCTTATTTGTCCGTGATGTGTGATAGTATCATGAAATATTTGTGATTGTCATTACTGGGCTTCCCTATCTGGGTTACATAGTGTCCATTATCTACTAGTGTTGAAACTTGTATTCGGATATCCGTTAACGGATACAAAATCGCGGATATCCGAATAGTTTAACTATCCGTTACTATTCGTTTGAATGAAAACAGTGTTCTATTTTTAGTAATTTTTACGTTTGATTCTTTAAAATTTTCCACAATGCTTTATAACATACATAGCTCTGGGTTCTTTTTAAAAATAAGTATAAGTAATAACATTGTAAAATTTAACTGGGTCTAGTATTAAATTGACTAGCCTAGAGTAACAAGAATGCATTTCTATTTTTTACTAAACAAACGCGAAAGTCGTAAGTTGAACGTTTGTTCACTTCTCGTGTTTTCTCACAGACACAGACAGTGTGTGGTTTCGTTTTCTTTTCTTGTCACACTGTCGGTTTTTATTTTAATGTTTTATGAAGCAATTTGTTAAAATTATAATTTGTTTGTTTATTTCTCCCTCCCATAAACAAATCATGCACTTTCTTTCATTCCCTGTTCTAAAAGTTATAAAACGGCAATGGATGCGGGTAAAAAGATATGTTAACATTGTAAGGATCTATGTATGACAAGCGAGTCTAAGATTACCGGAACTGTAAAGATCTATGTATGACAATCGAGTCTACAATTACCAAAACGAGGCAAATGACCTTGGCGGTACAAATCGAGTCTACGATTAATGGAACTGTAAAGATCTATGTAAGACAATCGAGTCTACGATTACCAGAACGAGGCCAATGACCTTGGCGGTTCAAATGTCACAGTCATTTTATTTTCTCCACTGTTTTATTCATGATTGAGGATTCGTTTTGATCAAGAAAAATTAAAAGTTTGAACTGGAGGATTATTGATCTGCATATTTCTACACCCCATACAATTTTGGATTCTTTTAATAACTAATATGCGGCTTTAGTACGTTTTCTTTACGACCCAAAAATGTAAATCGAAAGTACAATTCGCTCCTGACTCGCCAATGGAATGCCAATGGAAGTCACTGTACGAGAATTTGGTTTTGTTGAAGTAGGTTTTTTTTTAGGTTTTTAATATTTCCGAATAATTCGAATAGTATTCGGATAGCAATTTAAGTATTCGGATCCCAAAATCGGATCCGGTTTTCAACACTATTATCTACTGGGCTTATTTGTCCGTGATGTTTGGGGATATTTGTGGTCTAACTGGGTTCCATAGTGTCCATTATCTACTGAGTTTATTTGTCTGTGATGTGTGGGGATATTTGTGGTCTAACTGTGGGTTACATAGTGTCCATTATCTACTGGGTTTATTTGTCCGTGATGTGTGGGGATATTTGTGGTCTAACTGTGGGTTACATAGTGTCCATTATCTACTGGGCTTATTTGTCTGTGATGTGTGATAGTATCATGAAATATTTGTGATTGTCAATTACTGGGCTTCTCTATCTGGGTTACATAGTGTCCATTATCTACTGGGCTTATTTGTCTGTGATGTGTGGGGATATTTGTGGTCTAACTGGGTTACATAGTGTCCATTATCTACTGGGTTTATTTGTCCGTGATGTGTGGGGATATTTGTGGTCTAACTGTGAGTTTAATACTGTCTATTATCTACTGGGCTTCCTATCTGTGACATAGGGGGATATTTGAACATGAACTCTGGGTTGCATAGTGTTCATTATCTACTGGGCTTATTTGTCCGTGATGTGTGGGGATATTGTAGTCTAACTGGGTTACATAGTGTCCATTATCTACTGGGCTTATTTGTCCGTGATGTGTGGGGCTATTTGTGGTCTAATTTGGTTACATAGTGTCCATTATCTACTGAGCTTATTTGTCCGTGATGTGTGGGGATATTTGTGGTCTAACTGGTTTCCATAGTGTCCATTATCTACTGGGTTTATTTGTCCGTGGTGTATGGGGATATTTGTGGTCTAACTGTGGGTTACATAGTGTCCATTATCTACTGGGCTTATTTGTCCGTGATGTTTGGGGATATTTGTGGTCTAACTGGGTTACATAGTGTCCATTATCTACTGGGTTTATTTGTCCGTGATGTGTGGGGATATTTGTGGTCAAACTGGGTTACATAGTGTCCATTATCTACTTAAATTAAGAAACTCCTTAAATATATGCAAGGTGATCATGAGTGTGTGGGGGTTTGTGTGTATATGCATGAGGCAACAACATGTTTGTGTATATTTGTATGCCTCTTTGATATAACGTTCAAAATTAGTTGTGGAGAATACATCCCATCAATTCATATCATAATACACACTTTAAAAGCAATTTAATATTACACCAAATACATACATGTTCTTCTTTTCGTTTCTTTTCACCAGGGATGGGATCTGAAATAAAAGAGGGAGTTAAGTGATTTATCGGATTTATTTTTTTAAAGTTGTGTGACAGTCCCTACAAAGTACATATGTATCTCCTCAAGAATGTTTTTTTCACCAGATTTCGAAAACATACTGTGGATATGGATGAGTAATACTATTAGAAGAGATCTGTCTCAAAATAAGAAGTGATTCAGATGAATGGAATACAGACAACTTTTACACCTTAGAACTGACATAAAAAAAAGCATTAAAGGTCAGAGTGCATGTGCTACAGCAATACACTACTCCATTAGGCCCTGACCAAAAAAGTAATCTGGAGAACTGAATTGCTTGCTAAAAGTTTAAAACACACCAAAATCCATTGGTTACAGCCTACAGGAAA